TAATTGTACTTCTAGGCAAAATGAGAACATACCAAACACAAATATACAAGTTTTACAAAATACAAAAATCCAAATTTTTCACCAAATTCTAATGCTGAAAATCTATAGTACTACAGCAAAAGTTATATTTTATATTTTAACCTGTTTGCATTCTGAATGGGACAAGATACAAATATTGGCCAGGAAGCACAACTTTTTATTGAACTGTCCTAAAAAGCTGCACACAAAAACATACAGAACAACCTGCAGAGTCGGACTGATGAACAAATGACTTTTAAACAATTATTTTTAGTGAAGCAAAACCATACAGCATGAGCAGTAGTCTGATTCACGAATAAATGATTATTTTAAACCAATTCTTTTAGTGAACCAAAAACATGCAGCACGATCAATGTAGTCCGATTCACAAACAAATGACTCTTATAAGTCCTTGTAATGACTCATTTAAAATGACATGCATACTCTTTTACTCTTTTTTTGAGCAAAATGGATGATTTACACTTTACAATTGCATTTGAGAAACACAATTTGTAATGGAAAGAAATTTGTAATAAATGAAAAAAATGCATGGAAATAGAAGCATTTTCCCTTATGCACTTAGATTGTGGCTTCATCTGTAGATAATACTGTATATAAAAGAAGAAATATTTCATATGTTGTGATTTTAATTATAATGCACATTACTTTTTACACCTATTTGTACTGTAAGGATGGAAATCAGGTGACCTAAAGGATGGTGAGAAAATTCTTGGAGATTGCTTTGTTATTATTCAGACAGAATATATATGCAGTGGCTCATACAGTATAAATAGTTGAAGTCTTGAGGGAATATGCATGAACATTATGAAATTAATGAGCAGAAGGTGATCTGTTCCTGTAACAATAAGAGGAAGCCCAGCGGCCTTCAGCGAGAGCTGATCCAATGGGGATCAAGCAGTGAAAATGACTCTTAGCTTCAGCACGAGAAGAAAGCAGGAGGATGTGCTCACAGCCTCAAGACGGGAAGCACAGAGAGAGGATTTTCTCCTCTCTCCTTTCACTCCTCTGATTAGCCCTGCTCAGTAATATAGGCTAGAGCTCAGTGGTGCATCTCAGCAAACATCTCAGCTGTCTCTCTCACGGTTTCTTTACTTCATGTCCAGACTCGCACCTCAGGGCATGTTCAGATCAGCGTTAAAACAACCAGAAGAGAAAATTATTTCCTTGTGTTCTATTGCCTGTTGTTGACACCTTTGAATTAGATTTTGGCTTCTATGCAGAGAAAAATCACTCTTGACAGACAAATTGAACCATAATATAGCCTACCTGGCTCATAAGGAAGGCCTCGCATGGGATCTGCAACCCCACACCACGGGCGTGTCCCATACGCCAGTGGGCCCATTCTGATTTCATCGTCGCTTTAAAAGAGCTGATATATAGCCATCTGTGCTGGCATCACCAAAAGACAATTTGAATTGCATGAGACAGAGTGCGTCCTGAAAACAGCAGAAATTCCCTTTAAAATATTTGACCTCGCTGAAAGTCACTGTATAATTTGCACATATTACCACTTAGGGCATTCTGGGAAATGTCAGCTCAACATACTTCCCATTCTTAACATCTTGTGAATGGAGCATCCCTGAAAGTATGTTTTACAAATCTTTTTTTTTGTGTTATCAAACTATTTAAGCTGTGCTAGCAGATGGAGTCTGCATTCCTGCTGAATTATTTTTCTCCTTCAGTAATTGGTGGAGTTTTATTTCACTTTCTGGTTAATGACAGCCGATGGCCTGAGGCACAGAGGAGAGAAGTTCCATTTCACAGACACCTACAGAGACGAACATTTTGTGGCTAAGAGGGACACTGTGTATGAACTCCCTATTCTCACCCTTTAATGAGAACAGCCTTTTTTGCTGTTTTAATTGCAGAATATGCATGCAGAATATTTTTTCTCTGAAGTTCATGAATATGATATCACATTTACTGATGTAGGAACACTTCTAGCTGCTGCAGAGTAAGCTGAATTTGTAAAGCAATCAAGATTTTTTTTGGAGAAAAATCAGAACAGGTTGTACAAAAACTATTGGTCCAAATGGTCTGGCAAGTACATAAGAATATAAGTTAGATGCAAATTTAAAAGTAAATTAAAAATGGTATTCAGTCCAATTTGTCCAACAAAAAAAAGTGTTAGTAAGATTTTTTTGTGTGTGTTTTTATAAGAAGTTTCTTATGCTCACCTAGGCTGCATTTATTTGAACAAAAAATACAGTAAAAGCAGTAATTAAATCAGTCGTTACTCCAGTCTTCAGTGTCAAATGATCCTTCAGAAATCATTCTAACATGCTGATTTAGTGCTCAAGAAACGTTTCTTATTATTATCAATGTTGAAAACAATTGTTCTGCTTTTTGTAGAAACCTTGATTTTTTTTTCTGTTTTACTTGAAAATACATCATATGGTGGGATTAAAACAGGTTTGACATACTGACCATCATGGGCGTTGCTAGGCCACTTTTAGGGGGCTGTAGCCTACTCAGACTGACTACTCAGCCCCCCTAAAAATTTTGCGATCAGCTCCATAAACTGTAGCCTACATGAATTCGTGATCGCCTCAGTCCCCTTTAAATTTCATATGAAAACAGCGGCAGACTTCGGCTCCTCCCCGTCTTTCAGCGCGTTCTTCAATAAGCAGACCGCGGCGGCGCAGAGCGAGAAACAGAGGGCAAGATGAGTGTTTCTCGATAGATTGTTATACTATCTGCAACTGTACAGTTCTTCGTCATAAATACAGTTTACAAAATATCATGGGGGAGCAATCGGTTCCCCATCTACTTTAAAATGTCGCTGCGTTTCCTCATCACACTACAGTTTTATACAGTCTATGATCACACTACAGCTGTTTCCTCCAGCAAAAATGAAACCGCATACTTTATGAAACGATCACGTTGCCATTTTCATTTGAAAATTTAACTTTCAATATAATACATATTACAGTGCATGTGCAAAGAGGTTTGCATACTTGAGCTAAAGAAAGAGGGTTGTACTAGAAAAGCAAACAGTAAAATTTTGTGTTTGTAACTACAGTAAACAGGTGTGTGTGTGAGACCAGGAAGGCTTATTCAGTACTCAAATGTTACCTATCTAAGAAATACAGTGGAATACTGCAATAAGTTTAGTAAACCATCCCTATTAGTCAAATTTTTTATTTATTTATATAATTATTATTGTTTTTTATTATTACCCTCATTGGGGGCTGAGCCCCCCTAAAATGAAAATCATAGAATCGCCCCTGCTGACCATCAAGGTCAAATCCCTGAGTCTGACCATGAGTTCATTTATTATGATCATCATCAGCATTACAGTGGCTGTGCTGTATTCCAGTGCAGATACAGTAAAAGGGTTCTGACACATTAACGCACCAAGGAAATGTTCTGCAGGTTTATGAAGTGTTATACTCCTCTAGCTTGTATTTCATGTGTGGCAGTGGCACTGAGTGAAGAACGAAGATTCAGCTTCAGGATGGGAACATACAGGTATTGCTCTGGGTGAGGGAATTAAGATAATTCATGGCATAAAAAATGAAGGCTACTGTTTTTATGGCTTTTTTTTCCTTTTTTAAGTAAACATCTTAACTGAACTTAAAATGTCAAGTTGCACTTAAAGGGGTCATATGATGCAATTTCAATTTTTCCTTTCTCTTTGGAGTGTTACAAGCTGTTGGTGCATAAAGAAGATCTGTAAAGTTGCAAAGACTAAAGTCTCAAATCCAAAGAGATATTCTTTATAAAAGTTAAGAACACGCCCCCACATATCTACATCACTATCTGGGAAGATTTGCATAATGCCGCCCAAATTTTCACGCAAAGAAAGAAGGCGTAACTTTTATTCTCTTGTAGTATTGTTGTTGCCGCCGCCGCCATGTCGTGGAGACGCTTTGTGTTTCGTTGTGAAAGCGAAACTGCTTTGTTTGGCCTTCCAAAAGAGGATTCTTTCTCAAGCCAGCTATTTTTAGCAACATCATATGACCCCTTTAAAATCTGCCATAACTATAGCAATTATTTATATTAAGCAATTTTTACATTTAAATCTGTTATTTAAATAGGTCAATTTTTAAAAAGTAGCATAAGCAATTTCATTGCAAACTGTTCCCTTTGTTTGCATAGTTTTAAATTGATTATTTGCTTCATGACATGAAAAATGTAAATGGAATGCAAAGTGTTTGTTTTCTTAAACTATTGGCAACACATGAACATGCGTTTAACACTAATGACCCCAAAACATTTATGAAATAATGAACAAAAATCATTTTGAGTAGAAGAACAAACACATGTTGACATCACAATTTACTAAACATGACAACAAAAACGGCACTATAAGCCCTTGGTCAAACAATACAACCATATTAATTATTCATGCCCCATTGCATGCTGGGAAGAGTGGATGGGACTTAACCACAACTCATTCCTTTGGTGTACTGAACTAACAAAAATGCATTCATATACAAATCATATTCTATGCTTTTTGGTTTGACTTATCCTAATGGAAAAGCAAGATGCATTTATTGTGTTCCTGAAAGCTGTAGGCCTGCTTTGTTAGAGCTTCAGAATAGCAAGTAAACAAAACACTAAATCAATCAAGCATATGCTGTTCTTTCAACATGATTTACGAGATCTAAGATTCATTTCTGACAGTAGCATTATTAGTGAGCATGGATGATCGGGACAGTCGTGACTCGTGTGTGTGTGTTTGAAGCAGCAACAACAAGGTTGATTTATCCCCAGAAGAATTCTGGTAATTATAAAACACAGAGATGACTCGCGTTAATTAACAATCCAATTACGCTTCCTTACATTTGATTTTTCTTTTCACCCACATTGTAATCTTCCAATCTCTCCATCTCTTTCTCATTTAAATCATGTCATCTAGTAACGAGGTGTAATCAGTGTGATAATACACGGGCCAGCCAATTAAAATGCGTCAGTATTATTACTTCTCAGCTTACGAAACCCCACTAACACCCACCCACCCAGCCACCGCTCTGATTACATAAGCTTTGTGGGTTAGTATAAGCTTAGATAAGAAACGGTTGTCTTTGCTGCTGGTATGTGAGAAGACCAACTAAACTGAACTGAAACAGGACTTTCCTCACCTAATTTCTCTTCCGCTCTTTCTCTCTTTCGCTTTCTAAACTCTCCCTCCCCTCCTTCCTCTCTTCCTCTTTTCTTATCAAACACACAGGGTCTGCAGCGGCGGGTGAGGGACATCGTCTGCGCGCGCGCTTGTGCCAACTGTCTGTACGCTTGAGTGTGTGTGTGTGTGTGTGTGTGTGCAGTGCGCGCACACATGTGCCTCTCTCGGTGATGTGAGAAATCAAGAGGGACACATCTCTTAAGCCTCATCGTGGTGGGATTTCAATTTGATGCACTAAACGTAGCGCGCGTCTTCGCTCTCACACACTCTCCCTGCATGTGTGTGAGTGCGTGCGTGTGTGCGCGTGAGCGTGTCCGCTCGCTGCAGCTCCGGCGTCGGGCAAGCCCCTCTCACTGCTGCACTTCAGCCAATGTGGAGCAACTCGTCTGCAGCCGGCCGCCTCGCATGGCTCCTAAAGAAGCGGATATGCCCCAGTGCCACGGGAGACTGACGCCTTCACTGTCTTCCTCTCCTCCGCTAATGGTCCTCGCAGGGTGAGTGTGCCCTCCGTCCAGCCGTCCGTTTTCACATCAAGGGCTGGAGCTGGAAGGTCTGTTTGTGCATTGCAATGTGCTCATTCGTTAACATACGGCTGGTTGACGATTACTTACTGTACTGAGGGTGAGTGAGTGAGTGAGCTAGGGTTCAATTACACTTCATCTATGTCTGTGATACAGACTGGAATGTGATAATTCATTTAACTTTTTCTGTCCTTTGGGAAGGCTGGAGTTCAGGGAGTTTGCGATTATCGTGGTTTGAGCTATTTTATATTTGGTTCTGTCATTCAACAGTCTGATGTTTAGTCCAGGCTTTCTACAACTTGAAATATTGTGCGTTAAACGCCATGTCACAATACTTCCTGTGAAAGCTGCAAAAACTATATTTGTAGGTGTAAAGGCAATTTGATGAATGTGGGATTATGTCCTTCGTGGATGAGGGCTTTTTCTCCCACGCCTCAGCAGGCTCAGCACAATGTTTGCGATTGAATGCTGTGATTTTTCATATGCATAAGGTGTATTTTTTAGTTAAGGTTATGTATGTTTTATGGTGCAGACTTGTTTAAAACCTGTTAGTCACTATTATGGGGAGTTAAATAAGCATTTATTGGAAGCTATATTGTAGACGTGACAAGAAATCATTTAGAGAACTTTTATGTAAGGTATAAAACCTGTCAGGAAAACATGAGAGGATGTGCATTTGAATGATGGCATCCCTGCCATATGATATTGTGCTACATTTTGTGTGTGTGTGTGTGTGTGTGTGTGTGTGTGTGTGCGAGAGAGAGATTTCCACTCTGTCACGGACCACCCTGTATGATGGAATGACACTTTCTATCTTCACTGTGATTCAGAATCTAATTTTCTTCAGATATTAACTTTTTGCCATTTGTAAACACGCCAGAATGGGAAAATCTCCCGCATTTTACTTTTCACCTATTTTGAGTGAAATGTTTCCATCATTCTTTCATTATCTTTTCCTTGCGGGAAGATTAGATGCTCTTTTTTTTAAATTTTTTTTTTAAAGATTTGCTTTTTGATTTCAGGAAACCAGGCTGAGTGAGGCATTACATCCTTCCATCTCATTTTAGTACCATTTTCGTCCACTGTATACCTCAGTCCTGCGATCTTAGGCCTCTATTTGAACAGAGGATGAATGCGTTTAGTCATGCTCCAAAGAGTCTTTACTCTTTTCCCTTATATTTCGCTCCTTCAGTTTTTGTTCACTTCTGTCATGACTGATGATGGCCCATTGAAATAAGCTTTTGTGTTTAAATTCGAGAAATGTGTGAATTAAAGGAAAGATCATTTCAATGATAAATTACAGTATTTCACTTGTTTTGTTCAGCACACCAAATCTCCATTATGCTTTTCATGTCAACATGTAGAACATATTAAACACCCACCTTTCTTTTGCTTTCTTCCTTTTAACCCTTTCAGATGATGTCCACTGTAGAGGACATGTGTCAAAAAACAGCGGTGTTTAATTTTAGTTTTTTTTTTACAGTTTTAAGAAATTCTGCCCTATTTCCAGGTCATTAATCAAATAAGCACATTTGTGGCTGATCATGTGACTCTGTACTCTGGAAAAAGTATTAAATTAGAAAATACTAAATAGAAGCATTTTTAAATTCAGTTTTTGAATCCCACCGTGTATCATGTTGAATAAAAAAAGGAAATGATAAAAAAAAATGTTTACTTAGCGTTTGTGATTCATGCACCAAAGGATTACAGTTTTCTTCCTTTCATCCATCCACCACTTACTTACAGTGGTTTAATGACACCCCAGTGTACATCATAAATCCAAAAGGGGATTTCTCCATTTTCAGTCACTTAATACTTTAGCTTGTTAGTAGGATTAGCGCCACATTTCTCATAGCAGTCATTTGATCCCACTGTACTCCTTACATGGCTTGCTGATAAGTCTGTAAATCCAGTGTTACAAACTAGTGCATCTTCTCTGTACCATCCAGAAACCAAAGGCAATATGATGTTTAGTAAAGCCTGACCCAACACAGAGAGACAATGACCCCCTTTAAAATGGTGATTTTGGCCTGTCCCACATTTTGACCTTCTCAACTACTTGCAACAATTAAAATCAGACAATTTTATAATTAGTTTAGTATTAAATATTCAGTACATTGTAGTAATTTTTTTTTAATAAAAAGTAAATATTTTTTTTGTCCAAATTACCAAAAATAAATAAATAATATAAAATTGTGTAAAATTCATTAACAAAATATTTGGTAACACTTTGTTTTAAGGAACAATTCTCACTATTAACTAGTTGCTTATACCGGCAGGGCCACATTAACAATAGGGTCGAGCAAGGAGAGGGCCCGTGATTGGCTGTGGAGTCGATTGACTGGCCATCGGTAGCGCCGATCGCCAAAGCCCCACCACGCCCCCCACGTATTAGCGCTATTATTTAGTGGAGCTTTTCCATATTCCATGTATTACCATTAAAGACTGAAATGTCACGTTTGAATTTGGTTAACCAATCAAATACATTTTTGTGAGAGAGGAGATCAAAAAAGGAAAAAAAAAAAAGACAAACAGCAGATAAAACATGATCTAGCCTATTAAATAAAATCCTCAGCTATAGGTTGTTTTGACTAAAGCTGATGATGGAGTGGAAGTTGTGGAACAACAAGTGGACCGGGCACATGGAGCAGATAAAAACACAGCGTCATTGTCCCCACAGATTTTAGGTTAGTTTGATTATTAATTTGATGGATGTAGCCTATATTGCTTTTTTTTTGTATGTTTGAATAATCTCTATATATATATTCGCTTAAGGGTTGGGACATAACACATGTCAATCGTTTTGCGCGGTTATTAATTTGATGGATGTAGCCTATATTGCTTTTTTTTGTATGTTTGAATAATCTCTATATATATATTCGCTTAAGGGTTGGGACATAACACATGTCAATCGTTTTGCGCGTCATGATGTTAGCTTATTATTTAAACGCGTTCTAAGCATTGTGGTTTAAAATCAAAAGTTTGAACTGTTCAGGGACATTAAGCAGTGGGGCAGAATTCATTTCGGTAAATGCGCAGCGCGCGTTAAAGGGATAGTTCACCCAAAAATTCTGTCATCATTTACTCACCCTCATGTCGTTCCAAACCTGTATGAGTTGCTTTCTTATGTTGAACATAAAAGAAGATATTTTGAAGATTGCTGGTAATCAAACAGTTGGTGGTTGCCATTGACTCCCATAGTAGGAAAATAAATACTATGGAAGTTAATGGCAACCACCAACTGTTTAATTACCAGCACTCTTCAAAATATCTTCTTTTATGTTCAACATAAGAAAGCAACTCATACAGGTTTGGAACGACATGAGGGTGAGTAAATGATGACAGAATTTTCATTTTTGGGTGAACTATCCCTTTAAGACAGTTTCAGCTTGATATTCGCGGCGCGCACCTGCTCATACAGCGCCTGACTAAACTTGAGTTATTTTTCGCACCTTGTGCTTAAACGTTCAAATACTCATAGTTATGTGTCAAAATGCCCGTCTTTGCGAGTATCCTCTTAAACACATTAAAGTCATTTGTGTCTTAAATGAACGTTAATAGTTGAAAGATAAAACTGTGTATAGTAGTAGGCTACATGATATCCTAGCATTATGATGATTTCTTGAAGGGATAGTTCACCCAAAAATTTAAATACTGTCATCATTTACTCAGCCTCAAGTTGTTCTAAACCTGTATGAATTTATTTGTTCTCCTCATCATACAAGAAGATATTTTGAAGAATGCTTGTAACCAGAAAGTTTCTGGTCCAAATTGACTCCAACAGTGTATGTTATTTATTTATTTTATTTTAATTTTTTTCATACTATGCAAGTCATGGAGGCCCACAAATCTATTTAAAGCTATATATATTTTTATTGTGATGGGGAGCCCTGCAGAAAGTCATAGCCCCGGGGCCCAGTGAGGTCTTAATGCGGTCCTGCGGCCACATAAATAAATATATATAAACTAATATATTTACAAAAAATATAAATTTACTGATAACCTACATTTGATCCCAGGCTAACTAGCCCGTACAGAGTGACAGCTTAATTTAGACAGGGTTTGCCAACTTGTTACTTGTAGCGTTGCAGCTCAAGTAGTTTTTTTTTCTTAATTTATTATTTAAAGGGTTAGTTCACCCAAAAATGAAAATTCTGTCATTAATTACTCACCCTTGTGTTGTTCCAAACCTGCAAGACCTTCATTCATCTTCGGAACACAATTTAAGATATTTTTGATGAAATCTGAGGGCTCTCTGCCCCTCCCATAGACAGCAAGGTAACTACCACATTCAAGGTCTAGAAAAGTACCAAGATGATTGACAAAGTAGTCCGTGTGACATCAGTGGTTCAACTGTAACTCGACTGTAACGGCGCCGGCACCACCACACGCTCGCGTCATGGTACTGTCGTGAACGCGCGTCCACAAGTGATGCAGTAGAGATGAAAATGTGGAATAAAGTCATTATTTTTGTTTTCTTTGCACAAAAAAGTATTCTCGTAGCTTCGTAACTTTACAGTTGAACCACTGATGAACGAAGGCCTTATGGGTTTCGAACAACATGAGGGTGAGTAATTAATGACAGAATTTTCATTTTTGGGTGAACTAACCCTTTAACATTTATGCTGGCCTCCTGAGCCTCAACATTTATTAAGGTTAAACATCTCCTTTTCACTGAAGTGTCATGCCTAATTTGTAAGCTGTTTGTGGAAAGTAGCATATATGCTAGACAGCAGTGTGAGGACTTTTGGCCTCCCAGCGTGCAACCTTCCAGTGACTCATAACTTTTGACTGTAAGTGTCAGTGCTTTCGGGTTTCAGACTGTGCAGTCATGTGGTGACAACGGAAGGCAAAGGCAGCTCGTGAAAATCATTAGATTGTTTTTCATGTTGAGGTTTGGTGCTACAAGCAGGGCTCAAAGCCCTTTGCAGAATAAAATACAGAGATTACAGCTCTCCCAGTGTTAATGACTG